ATAATATATATATATATAGAAAAATTTGTTTAGCTGATAAACGTAAAATATATTTTAAATTATTTATAGTAAAATGTATTAAAGTGTTAAGTCTCTAAATTAATAGTAAAATGAATCAAAATTAAAAGACAGCATATTTTCATCTACTATAACAGAGGATGTGTTTTATATGTGCCGGTAACAAGATGTTATATTGGCTTTGCGAATTCTGTTGCTCCGTCCCTTTTCTCTTAAATGGTGCCCTGTGTATTGATTGAGCTCCTTCCCTGTACTGGTAGATATGGGCTCACTGAGACGTGTTCCTGCCCTTAAGTATTACAGATTGCCACTTTAGGAAAGGAACTTGGCAATAGGTAGAATGAACTTCAAAAGTGGTCACTAATAATTCCATTTGCAACAGTCCTCTGTGAAAGGATGTGAAAATAATTTAAATATGTTGATAATGCCTTTATGTGAGAGGAATTTTGAAAAGAAAATTTAAAAACGGTTTATAAGAAGATGGATTAATGACATTTGATTAAGTACTCTGCCAGAGCAACCACAGCATTTAATGGGGCTGCAGGTCAGATCATCCACACCGTGAGGGTAGTTATGTAGACATCATGATGTTTATGGACAGTGTTAATGTTGCAGGAAAATACTTACGAAATAAATATATTTGATCCAGAATTAACACAAAAAATAAAAACTGTAGGAAAATGCTGGAGGGCTATCAACTCAGCAGGCTATCTTCTGATATTACAAGTGAGTGATGTATTTATTAGATTTTCTGTGTTAAAATAAGATAGTATTTCTAAAATTTCTAAATTATGAAAATAACAGTTTGCTTATATTTTCTGCTATGAGAATATGTAACATTTCTCTGTTTTAAACATTTATCTATTTTTTTCATTTAATAAAATCTTACTTGGATAATAAAGTAGTAACAAGGTAAAGACAAAGAAGTCAGTTGGAAAGTAGCAATTACATATCCACCACATACAGTGCACAGTGTAAAACTTAAAGAATTAGGGATACTTTGATACGGTTTTTATTTTTAAGAAAAATTTTATAAACAAAAACCTCAACCATTCTCAAAGCATTTTTTGGCTTAGTAAGGTACTTCATAATGGGCTTTTATTGTTAAGTATATTTGCTCATTGTGTACCTGAAGTTAGTTTCAAGGAATATTTAAGAATTTTACAAGGATAGCATAAAATATGATTTTTCTTGAATAACCTTTTCTGGGAAATAAAAAAAAAAGAATGGTATGCTAATTACTGTAATTTTGATGTCAGTCACAGTAATTTTATATTTCTTAATTTTTTTCCATCCATTTATTTATTATTGGTCATAACAGAATTTATTCTTAAGCAATGAAAGAATGTTTTCATCTTTAAACATACAAAACTAATGGAAGTGTGTTAGAATTTCCTACCTATTTCATATTTACACTTTTATGTTTTACTGAAAGCTCCCTACTCCTTTTATAAACATTTATCAAAACTGTATAAGGCATCATACTCCTTTCATAACACATCCTAAATCTTGATCAATAATACTTTTCTTTCATGTTAGTAAATGTTCCTAGACTGAAAGAACCTGAATGCATCCAGGCCCCTGTAACTTCTAGATTCCCACAGTTTGAAATTCTAAATTATCCCTGAAGGCTCTGCCCAGTCCCTCCATGATGGGCTCTGGCTGGTGTCTGTCCAGTACAGCCATGCAGCAAGTCTTTGTCCAGTGGTCTGGCTGTGGTTACTACTGGACCACATGCCATATCTGTTGTGACTGACTTCTTAGATAAATGTTTGTTATTTTATCTTATCCCCATTTTACCCTGCAGTTGTGATAACAACACCTCCTTTGGGTTTTCTTTTATTTTTGTTGATAGAAAAATGCAGATGCTAAGACCCCTGCCTGATAACCTCTGATGGACACCAGAGTTTGAAAGTCACTGCTTTATCTTCACTCTGATGAAAGAAAATACATTTGACAAAATGAGTGCATTCTCTTTCAGGAAAGGTAGGTAAAAGTTTTTGTGATTAAAATCCTACCTCATTTCAGAGTTGACATGATTGCCAGCGAGCTCACCATTAGAACATAGTTTTTATTAAAAGATTTTTTTTAAATGTTATTTATACTGGTGTTCTAAAAGATTATTCAAGGACAGAGATTTAATTACTGACACAGCCATTAGAGAAATGAGGTTAATTCCCCAGGAACCAACATGAGGAAATAATAATACAAAATTGTGACACAGGTTCTGTTTTTCAACAATCTATATAGTCAGTGGAATTTAATATTCCATGTGTTAAAAATATTTCATGTACTGAAAATATTCTGCATTTTAACTAAACCACCTAAAACCTAAGCAAAAACCACACCCTGGCATTTAGTTACTGGGACTAAGAAAATTAAATGCAATAAAGATTCAGAACAAAGCATAGACTGGTATTTTCCCAGTCTGTGTAGATAAGCAGCACTCACAGAGTTCTTGCACACTAGGACTTGAATGACTCCTTTGTGATTTTTTAAAAATTTATATCGAATTAACCAATTATAATATGATTCCAGAATTGTCTATTTACTTGATATTGCTAAAATAATGGCCTTTGATATTGCAATGATAAATCAGTGTTTTATGAAAGATACTTACTTGACAGATACAAAACCCAAACTACTATTCTTACAAATTTTTTTGTCAAAAAACTCTAGTCCGAAAATGTAGTGAGTTGGCTGTAACTGAGGTAATAATATTTAAAAGTTGTCTAAGGGAAGTAAATGTTTCCAACATGATTCTTGATAAGCATGCTGCCATGTTTTTGTACACACACAGAAACACACACTTCCCTCTAGTTGTATAGTGGACCTGTTTGTGTAATAATTGTATCTATTAGTATACTTTTCTGTATTAATAGTAGTTCAGAAGCATGACATTTTTTAACATCATGTCCATAAATTTATTATTAATGCTCCTGTTTTGGCATAATCACATAATTTGGGGGATGTTATTTAAGGGAATTCATTATGACCTTGATATTTTACTATGCAGTAAATCTTAGTTTTGTAAAATCTCAATTATTATAAATCCTTTTCTTAATTAAAAACACCAAAATATGACTAGTTATGTCCATAGGAAACATCATTTACACAGCTTCTTGAAGGTAAAAGTAAGTTTATTGACACCTTTAGCATTGTTTCTATATGCTAAATTCATAATGCCGATAAACATGTTATCCTATTTCATGATGAGTATGTTCTAACCACAAACACATGTATATGCCTAGATGGTTGGAAGGATGGATGATGATAATAGATAAATTGGTAAATAGATGACTATAGATAGATATTCTGGAGCAGAATCTTTTCTTTTTTTTGGTGCTTTAAGGAATCTATTTTGCAAAATTTTCAATAATAATGAAAATTTCATGATAATCAACAGGAAGCTTCAGCATAAAGGGCAATAATATAATCTGTCCATTAACAAATAAAAAAAATACCATATGCCATTTATACTTTATCAAAATGATGTTTTTGAGAGAGAAAAACCACTTTAAAATTTACATATATGTACTGTTCATTGTTAAAAACAGCTGAGAAAGAGCTTTAGCTTTTTAAACATACATAGTTATCAAAGGAATAAAGCCAACCACAAAATAAGAATTAACAGAAGGCAGTAATCCATCATAAGGGACAGTCAAATGTGCTTACACATGTTCAAGAAATCAGTCATCTAAATGATAAATAGTGAGTAGTTTGTGTCCTTTTTTTTTTTAGATTCCACATATAAGTGATATTATATGACATTTTACTTTCATTTTTCTTTCTATTTCTGGCTTACTTCACTTAGAATAGTGATCTTCAGGCCCATTCATGTTGCTGCAAATGGCATTATTTTATTCTTTTTTATGCTGAGTGGTATTCCATTGTGTACATATACCACAACTTCTTTATTCAGTATCTGTTGATAGACATTTGGGTTGTTTCCATGTCTTGGGTTTTGTAAATAGTGCTGCTGTGATATTGGGGTGCATATGTCTTTTTGAATTGTATTTTTCTCTGGCTGTGTGCCCAAGACTGGCATTGTTGGATCATATGGTAAGTCTATTTTTAATTGTTTAGGGAACCCCCATACTGCCCTCCATAGTGGCTGCACCAATTTACATTCTCCCCAACAGTGCAGAAAGGTTCCTTTTTCTCCACACTCTCTCCAGCATTTATCGTTTGTAGACTTTTTAATGATGGCCATTCTGGCTGGGTGTGAGGTGATACCTCTTGGTAGTTTTGATTTGCATTTCTCTAATAGTTAGTGATGCTGAGCATCTTTTCATGTGTTTGTTAGCCATCTGTCTGTCTTTGGAGAGATGTCTATTTAGGTCTTCTGCCCATTTTTTAATTGGGTTGCTTGTTTTTTTTAATATTAAGGTGTATGAGCTGTTTGTTTATTTTGGAAATTAGTCCTTTGTTGGTCGCATCATTTGCAAATACTTTCTTCCATTCTGTAGGTTGCCCTTTCATTTTGTTGATGATATCCTTAGCTGTCCAAAAGCTTTTAAGTTTTATTAGATCCCATTTGTTCATTTTTACTTTTATTTCTGTTACTTCAGGAGCTGGTTCAAAAAATATATTGCTGTGATTTATGTTCAAGAGTGTTCTTCCTGTTTTCCTGTAGGAGTTTTATAGTATCTGGTCTTAACATTCAAGTCTTTAATCGGTTTTATTTTTGTATATGGTGTTAGAGAATGTTCTAGATTCATTCTTTTACAGGTACCTGTCCAGTTTTCCCTGCACCACTTTTGAAGAGACTCTTTTCTCCATTGTATGTTCTTGCCTCATTTATCGTAGATTAATTGACCATAAGTGTGTGGGTTTATTTCTGGACTTCCTATCCTGCTCCATTGATCTATGTGTCTGTTCTTGTGACAGTACCATACTTTTTTGATTACTGTAGCTTGTAGTATAATCTGAAGTCAGGGTGCGTGGTTCCTCCAGCTCTGTTCTCCTTTTTTAGGACTGTTACGGCTATTCAGGGTTTTTTTGTGTTTCCATACAGATTTTAACATTTTTTGCAGCTCTGTGGAAAAATGTCATTGGTAATTTGATAGGGATTGCATTGAATCTGTATATTGCCTTGGGTAGTATGGCCATTTTAACAATATTGATTCTTCCAATCCAAGAACAGAGTATATTTTTCCATTTGTTTATGTCATCTTCAGTTTCTTTCATCGATGTCATACAGTTTTTGGAGTATAGGTCCCTTGCCGCCTCGGGTAGGTTTATTCCTAGATATTTTATTCTTTTTGGTGCAATGGTAGATGGTACTGTTTTCTTAATTTCTTCTAAGTAGAATCTTGAGTATTTTTGAAAATTCCACATCAATCATCTGATTTCATTACGTGTTGCTTTTCTTTTAGCCACATGCACAGGCACTATTTGAAATAGATTTTAAAGAGGAGTTGAACATGATAAATGATGTTGGTATGTGATGACCAGAGGTAGAAATTGCTGCTACTCCTAGTTAACAAAATACTTAATATTTTAACAGCAGTTGACATGCTCTTTTGTATTATGTAGCAGCTTGCTCACTTTGTCTTTTGCACATAAGTTAATTCAATAATCTAAAATGCATTTATTAAAAAGCAACAATTTATATAGGTATTTGATTAGTTTTAGTCGACTTAAAAGTCATATGAGAACCTAAACTAAAATCAGAAATAAAGAGACCATATACTTTAACAAACTAAGGGATACATGGAATGTTCAAACTTACAGAGAGGTAGAAATAATTGTTTAAGAGAATTACTAATGACTATTGGATAAGACTAACCAAAAAATTACATAATGATTTCAGTGTTTAAAGATCATAATGAAATTGTTTTCTTTGATGAATCAGACTGAATTATGCCATACTTTTTATCATTCTGTGAATTGCTATCAATTTCCTGCTGGATATTATACATATACGTCTATATTTTTTAGAAAGAACACTCTTATAATTTATTGAGTAGTATAAAGCACGCTGCTCTCTTTATCTTGAGATATAAGATTATTGTTTATACAATTATTGTTTTTCCTAATTTCTAAATAAGTTTCAAAATTACTAGAAGTTCTTTGATTTCAAATTATTTTCTACTTACCATCCCCCTAAAAAAAATCCTACATATATATATGCATGTGAACACAAGCTGAGAGATTTTTCTGAGTTCAAACATAGGGAATGTCATAGTCACTATATTTGGGGAATATTACAATATTTTAATAAAAAAATTCAGTGTTCAAAAGCTTTAGGTATAAGCCATCATGATAAATTGTAACGAGATAGTTTAACCAAAAGCTAATAAAAGTTACAGTAATTTTAATTGGAAAATACCAAGTTTTAATAAATCCTAATGCATTAGATCACTGCAAATGCTAACAAAAATTAAGATTTTTAAAATGAGTATTTATGTGGTATGACATGTATTTAAAATCTACTTAGATGTACTATTAATAATACTAAAGCTGCTCTGAGTTTCTGGAGAGCTGTTTTATTACTGAGAGTATACTTAATAACTGCTGTCAGAAAACCCTGCTGCCTGTGAGATATTATTCACCGTGTCTCATTTATCGCTGTTTTAATTACAATTTGGAGAAACCTAATCAAGTGTTTTCCCTAACTAAACAAACCACTTAGATCAAACTGCATTTCTCCTTCTCAACAATTTACTATCCTTCCAAAAGCTGCAAATGGATCTTTAAACTTCAAATAGAGTTTATGCGGGAAGGTCGATCCTTATTGATTTACCCTGATCTTCCAGATGGTCCTCTTATTTACCAGACAGGCCTTCTAAATTAGTAAAGATGGGGCTTAAACATTCTGTGAACTCTCTGTAACGTGTGTATTTCTTAAGCGAAATAAAGTCTGTGTTGTGTGTCACAGAGAAAAATCAGTTTGATCCAACTATATTTTAGTTTCCTTACACTAATTGGATCTAATCAGGAAGTTTTATTTTTCAGACCACAGTCAATAAGAATCCACTTAC